GACACGGGGCAATGGCTTTAAACTGGAAGAGGGGAGATTTCGATGGGATCTAAGGAAGAAATTCTTCCCTCTGAGGGTGGTGAGGCACTGGCACAGGTTGCCCAGAGAAGCTGTGGCTGCCCCCTCCCTGGAAGTGTTCCAGGCCAGGCTGGATGAGGCTTTGGGCAACCTGGTGTAGTGGAAGGTGTCCCTGCCCATGGCAGGGGGGTTGGAACTAGATGATCTTTGAGGTCCCTTCAAACCCAAACCATTCTGTGATTCTATGATCTTCATCTATCCTGGCTGAAAAGGATCTGAAATGAAACTCAGCACAAGATCTCCTCTGGGATTTGGGAAGGCTGAAGCTTGGATCAGCATACTCCAACTTTACTCTCCAATCACACTACTAACCACGCCAACAAAGCACTGCAAATCGCTGTCACCGTGTCCGAGCTCTGTGTGTAGGAGAAACATCCCCACACCCCGAAGAAAGCAAAGAGCAGATTCAGGAGTATCAGGATTTGCTGAGACTCCATCCAGTGCTCGCTCACTTCTTTGAACTCAAGTTGACATAGAAGAAAACATCTCTACATCCAAAAAAAACCTTTCCCTCTACAGGTTTGCCACCGTTTCCAAGAAAACAATAAAGAAGCAGAAAAGCATGAAGAAACATGGGAACGAGCAGGACTTTTTTTGCGTGTAGACACCACATACTGGCTGAAATGGAGGTTTGGTTTCTCTTAGGGCGGTCAGTGAAAGCAAGCTGTTCTCCAAATCACTTGCAATGCCATGAAAAACCACATCCCCATTCCCCCTGAAAGTTTTGTTCTACAGAAGATATATTCTGGCTGTCCGAAGCATTTAAGATTAAAAGGGAAGTGTGAATTAAGCAATTTTAATAGTGGATGAAGACTACAGTTAGGAAAATATCCACACACAAACTGAGACTTTATCAAAGTCTCTGAATTTTGTTAAATATTAAATATATAAACACGCAGAGAAAATTTAAAATTTGTTTTGAGGCAAACTGACCAAACCTTCAGGAGTTTTATTTCAGTTGGTTGCTGGTGAAGAGCAACAGATTGGTTAGTTTTACTGCCAAAGGTGACAGCTCAGCATCACATGCCACATAAATGAATTTAAAAAAAAAAAGTATTATGAGCTCTTTTAGCAATTCCTCTTTTCTGAACAGGGTTTCTTGGTCCAGGCAGCTGTTCAATTCAGCCATCACTATTTTGAAACATATCATTCTTTAGGGGGTAAAAAGAGAGGAAAATGAGAGTTTTGCTTTTTATTCTTTCCTGAATTACATAAAAATGTGCTTCCTTCCAAGCTAAACGTACAACTGAATAAAAATAAAATATCATTACCAATCCTCCGCTGACCAAAGTCACTTTTTAGTTCAATTTTGGGTATATTGGATGAAATTCCCAAAAGAGTTAGTGTGACTTCGGACACAGCAGGCCACACTCATGCAACTGAATTTAACAGTTTAAGAAGTTACCAGCTCTGTGGATGAAAAGCAGCAGTGATCCGGTTCGTGGTCTGTTCCACTTGCACTTCTTTACTGCTTTAAGTGAAACTAGTTATTCCTACAGAAAATGCCAAATATTTAATGCATCTCAAATACCAGGGCAGTAACCTGCAGGTGAATAGTGGTAACATCTAAATCCACGGCAAGTTTGAGGGAAACATCTCACCCTGCTCCCAGGA